CAGATTTTTATCCTCTGTTGTAGAAATGTGCAGTTTAATGTTGCGTTTCAAATCATTTTTGGCTGAAAAAGTGTGTAACGGAATCAGGGTGTCCCCTGAATACTCCTAACAGTAGGAGATGCCTCTTTGTTTTGAACACCAGAATCCCAATAGACCCATGACAGCAGTGAAATTACACTTTTGACCTTGTTCACTAAAGTGTTTCTTTCTCTGTATGATTAAATGAGAGTAACCAACAATAGCTTCCTCTAAAATGTATGAGTGTCCCTCTTTGTTTCTCATAAGGAACTCAGAAAGGATGCTGTGCAATTCTCAGCTGATTCTCTTCTCCATAAAAGAAAAAAGAAAAAAACCAACCGAAACAAAAAAAAAACAAACCCTGCTTGATTCAAGGAGAGGTGGCTGGTTTATCCATATTAAAAATGCAAAAGCAATTGATATATTGATATTTTCCTTAAGCCAGTGTTGTTGCTACATCCTGAGTGTGAGAGCAGGAGTACAACACAGTGGTAGATTTTCACCCTTTTGTTGCTTCATTCGTCACGTATTTTAAAAGGGTATATATACTAAAGCACCAAATACTGTTTTAAAGGATTGAATCTGAGTGTAGAAAATAACCATATACTTAAGGTTCTGTGTGAATGCTGAAATATTCAAAAGATCACTTAGCTGATCATTGTGGACTATGCAGTTATGTCAATCCAAAAGACAAAGGTAGTATTTTCTGTAGATTTACATGCAGCCTTTTAAGCTCCTGGTGTTTCTTTTCATTTGCATGTGCCTGAGTGGACATAGCCCGCTGCAGGATTTGCTGTGACTGCCAGTCCCGCCTTATGCACTGAGGTGCTGGCACATCTCTTGCTCCACATCTAGTTGTTCAGGGCACGGCTCTCCTGGATCAGAAAATACTCAGTGAAGTGGCCAGAAGAGGGATACAAAATCAGATTTTTGTTTCTTCCATTTTAGGCTACTTCAGCTGTTTTGGGGACTTTTTTTCCCCAATATATTCCTGTTTTCTGTGAATATTTACCAGCTCCAGATTAGGGAACATGCTTTCTTTCTTGTGCAGAGCACTATCTGTGAAACGTAAGGGCAAGTACAATCCTGTAGTTTGTGTGGGTGGGGAGTTAGGTAGCTGGGTTCAAAAGAGGGGAGGGGACTCAGGGAAATCTATAGTTTGTTTTTAGAAGGGATCAAAATAAGTGACTTAATGGCCTCCGTGGCCTCAAGATTTAAGAGCAGTTTCTCCTGTTTGTTTGCTCGCTGTGGATGGTGCTGCGTGGAGAGGGCATCAGAGTGTGTAGGGCAGTGCACCGAGGGGGCTGCAGATCTGTGACTTCCGATTTCCTATCCTCCAAAAAAAACTTCTGTTTTTTAGTTACTGCTTCATTGGTGATATAAATTAATGATTGGTATGGGTCTGAAGCAACCTTGTCATCAGAGAATATTTGGTTAGTGTTGACATACTTGTTCCCGGCAAACATGAATCATCTGGCTGCCTTTGGCAGGCTTGCCCTGTGGCTCTGCTATAATGTGTTTCACCAGTGTGGCTGAAATTAAAATGTCACTATTAAACATGGCAGAATCAGATGCTCTCTGGGCACTGCATCTCTTCAAGTTCTTCTTGCTTTCTATGTAGCTATTTCTGACAGTTTAATAGGACAGCTGTATTCTGGTATAAAATAATACATTCATATTTCCGAAGTGCACGGGGAGCTAAATGCTTTCAGAGCACTATTTCATTGTGTACATGCATCTTTCATGCATGGCAGAAGCAGTAATGCTCTTGTAACGCCATGTTGCTGCTTAGTCCATTAGGAAGCGTAAAGTCAAAATTAATTGTCCTGCAGGACTGTGTAGAGTGCGTCTCTAAAAGCAGTTGCTGGGCTGTTTGCCGCTGCCGCGTCAGCCGGGCTCCCTCCCCGTGAGCAGTTATTGACTTTGGGCTATTGAATTCAGGGCTCTGGAGGTTGGACAGTGGGAAAAGCCTTCAGTCGGTGCTTGGCAGCTCTGTCACTGCGAGGTCACGGAAAGGGCAGCTCAGTCTCCAAACCCAATTAGGGCCTGATTCGGCACCTCTTCAATCACAGGGGAAAATCCCACTGAGCGTTGCGGCTCCCAGGCCAGGCTTTCGCACCCAGCCTCTGCAGTGAGACGGCTGACAAATGTGCCCGTTTTTGTCACTTGGGCCCTCAGAAATACCCTTTGCTGTCATGAAACTGCTAAGCAGCTGGTGCGGAAAGGTAAAGAGACTGGTAAGAGGATAATGAGCCCGTCAGAGTTGAATTCAGACCAATGACCTGTATATGTATGTCTGCATCCCTCCCGTTACTCATATCTAGAGCCGTCTAATTCCTCGGATCAAATCATTTGACTCTTATGAGCAGCTGTAACTTTCAAGTTGAATAAAGTCCAACTGCTGGAAACATTAATGAAAAACATAAAACTGAGGCTCTGTTTTATCAGGTATCAAGAGCATTGCTTTAATTCCCCCCCTCCAAAGTTTGGGTTGGTTTTTTTTTGTGCTGCGTTGTGCTTTTCATCCCAGGTGGCTGCAATTTCTAGTGAAAACAAGTTGAGCCATGAAAGGTTGACCCACTCGCCTCTGAATTGGTTTTTATATGATGTGAGTCCCTGAGGGCCCAATTCTACCCATAGAAGTGAGAATGATAGCTATCAATGTATATAGGAAGTATGTCAGTGTTCACAAAGAAAAAGGTGAACCCCAGACTGGTCTTAGTGGTCTTTAAAATATGGGTTTCCTGTGAAATGGTGATTAAAGGGGAAGCAAAGGATAATTAAAAAATTAGGCTGACGCCCTAGCAGTTATATCAATGTGTGTTTTTATATTAGCTCTTTCAGACAAGCACAAGATCAGTAGATCCCTTATGACTCTCTTAAACTAGTGTGTAAAATTTGGTTAGTGTCTGATCAGCTCCTTTGATCAGTCGAGTCTAGACTGTTGCCAGAGTACTTACTCTGTACTAAACCCACAGTCCCCTTAAATGGAGGCCTACTCAAGTGAGTCAAATTACATATGAAAAGGTTATAAAAACTGCCCACTGTCTTTGAGTAAATGAGTCTGGTTCAAAGCTGAATACCTTAGGAATTGCAAAAATAAAAGCAAAGGCGTTGTTGCAGAAAAGAGGTGGTGGAGTTCTTAATTCGTTTTTAAATGACTGTCTTGGAAATCCAAAAGAAAAATTTTCAGCAAAATTATTTTTAATTGGAACAGCATTTTCGTAAGCCTGTAATGTATTCAGATCCCATAACGAGGAAAAAATTCCATCAAAACTTCTGCACAAATTTCTCTCAAGAAATTAATGAGTTACAACCACTATGTCTGTCTTGTTTCAAGCACACAATATTGTTTTTAATTGTAGCAGTGGAGGGCCAGCGGGAGCCTTCAGTATGTAGGTTGCACTCTTGCCACCTCCAATTTCTACATAGGATTATTTGCAAGGGAGTACTGGAAGTCCAGGAGCAGTAAATTTATTATCTGTCATAGCAGAGCTGTCTTCCCCTCATCACTAAAGCCTTTTCCCATCTCTCCCATTGTAGTGCCATCCTGTACCTGTCTGTTATTTGCCGCATGAATCCCAGAAATGTGAACAGTTCCTTTCCTCTTTGATAATGCTCCTTCCTTTTGCATACTAGCAATAGTAGGTGGTCATCCAGAAACAATTTTAGTCCAATATCATATTCAGAAGACTTGGAAAGTTATCCAGTGCCACTAATTTTACAAAGCTGGTTTTGTACCTGGGCTGGTTTTCTCAAGATGCCTGTGTTTTGAATTTAGAGGTTAAGTTTTTGATCTTCGTGTGCCTACCGCATTTGTTGGTTGCATTACAGTGCTCTCAGAATGCCTGGCATAGAAGCAATGCCAGCAAATTGATAAAATTATCAAGAGAAGTAAGCTAGCACGTAAATATCACATCAACAGGATGAAAAGATCGCAGAAAGGAGACGGTTTAAAACATATAGAAACTGGAATCCAAGTGACAGTTGCTTGTTTTATCTACACCAAATTCTGTGCAAATTCAAGAGGAGAGCCGGTACACTGCTACTATCCAAACACTGAATTAATCTACTGATGGTTGAGAAACAGCTCCAAAGCAGGCATTAAAATCTTTGGGATGATACATAGTTCATCCAGCTCTTCGAAAGCGCCGACCATTACTATACTTACAGAGCTGCATAAATAATGGAAAGATAAAAGAACGCAATTCTGTGAGTAAATACGTGACCACAGAATGCGGTAGGAATACTGGGTAAATTCTTCCCCCTTGTCACTGTGTTTCAGCCAGTGGCATTACACCAGGGAAGAATCAGACCGTATTTTGCATGCAGCATAGCAGATTGTTAAGAGGCAACAGGCAGGTGTTTAAGAGAATTTCCTCTCTGCTGTTTGCAGAAGCGTATGTGAAATCTCCTGGCTGATCTATAGTCATTCCATTACCTGTCGTCTTTCGGCAGGTAACTAGTTAAATTTGTGTTAAACAGGATTTGCTTTGCCATTTCCATTTGCTGTTGGAGTAGAAATGTTGTGACATGACATATGACCAATCAATAATCGGAAAGTGCTTGCATGAGTCATTTGAAGCCAGTAGTTTAGACAGTGTCAGCTACAACTGGGATTAAAACCTGCAAAGAGTTGTTCTACAATCAGTGATTCTGCAGCATCTCCTCTGGGTGTCTGCATTTCACTTAATAAGGATACCCTATAGACATCAACTGAAATAACTCTTGCCTTTGTTGCTTGGATGTTTTTGTGAGCTCTGAAATGAACTTGGCATATACAAATACACTTTTTTATCCAGCCTAAAGGATGCAAGGCAGGAATTATTATCCTGTTCTGCTGACAACTTCAGTAGAAAAGATATGGCTTTATTTTACTATGACTCTGAAAAGAATAAGAGTGTGACTGTACCCTGTGGTTTTCTGGGTATTTTTTGCTTTTTTTTTTTCCCTATACTGATGATGTTTTATTACTATTACAGGGCTATAATAATCCGAAACGGCGAAGTCATTCCAATGTCTTCAGAATTCACTCCAGAGACCGAACGCCAGCGACTTCAGTATCTGGTAAGAGACCTGACGACCAAATCAGGTGCAGCTGATGACAAGCATTGCCTGGTAATATCTAAGGTTCAGATACATGCTGCTGAGTTACTGTGGCTCAGTGAAGGACCATGTGTCTGCTGAACACCAGTGACTGGTCATGTATGTCTTTTAGCCATCAGCAAATGTGGAGAAAAGCCTGGTGGTGCAAATCCTGATGAAAGGAGCCTTATCTCTTCCTTGAAGGCCATCGATTAGCATGGCTGTGCTTGTGTACCTTGTTCAGCTGCAGACCTTCAGCAGCTCATTGGTGTTGGATAATGAGAGCTCAGACATAGAGCTAACAAGCCACAGAGGTATTTCAATCCATCCCAGTGTTTACTGTGTGACAGTATAAAATACCACAGACTGCTCTTTGTGTGCGTGTCAACAATATTGCAGAGTTTTATTCATTTGCTCTAATAGTATGCCAATAGTATCTCAATCAGGGAAAAGATAGCCCATTTAGAGGTGATCTCAGTGAGCATTAGTAGCTGCAGGGATAGGATGGGTGAAGAAAGACTAGTTTTATTTAGTGTAGCAGCACCCATAAAGCTGGGACATGGTGACTAACTGAGAGATGTGGGATGCTTTATACATCAAGTTACGCTGGCTGATAAGCTGCCCAACAAACATAAGTCAAAATGTGTGGTGTTATTTTTCATGCAAACAATCCTGGGGTTTTTTTAAGTTTTTCATCGATGGTCAGATTGGTTAGTTGAAGTTGGTTGGCTGTTCGTCAACACGTCATTCCTAACGTGGCTGAGAGATTTCTTTTGTGCTTCTTCTGGTGTCCTGCTTTTTCCTCTTAGAAATTTAAGCTTAAGCCAAGGCAGGCTCACTGTCAGCTTTGCCTGACGCAAGGTGGACAGGCCAAGGCTAGTGGCGTTCCCTGTTCTTAAGATGTCTCTTATCTCAGCCTGGCCCAAGCACTGTGGTTTGAAACTAGGCAAAATGCCGGTGGTTGAAGGCGGCGGTGGAAGATTTTAAATAAAAATTGTAAATGTTTCCACATTGTCACGTTTGATTTTTAGTCAAGTTCACCAGCTTGAAGCTGAAAATTTCAGAGGAAATACTGCTTTGGGAGTATTCATATTCAGAGAACCAAATGGAAAAGAGGCATAATAAATATTTACAGTTCAGTTACATTTAAAATAATTTGTTTGCTTTTAAAATAAAAGGTATCTTTAGTATCTAGGGAGTCTGCTACTTCTGTAGGAAATACGAGATAAAGCATTGCCTACAAGGGATTTTTTTTTCTCTTTTGATGTCCTTTCTGGCTTATATTTGAAAACAGCAGCTGATCTGAAAAGCATTTCTGCTGTTTCCTTTAGAAAATTCCTTTACCTTTGTTTATTTTAATTCTATATGTAACAAATAAGGAGGGCTATGGGTATCATGTTCAAAGAAAATACATGCAAGACAGCAAGAGCGTGAAATCAAATTAGAGATAATTTCAAACATAACTTTCAGTAAGTAACATTTTTACTGTAGTGCTTAAAAAAAAAAAAAGACCCCAAATTTCTTACAACGTTGGCATAAGCATTACACTCCAAAGGTTGCATCTGTCTTGCTGATTAGATCCCAAATAATTCTGCTTACTCACCTTGGCTGTCCCCAGGTTCTACTGTCAGTCTATTGCATCATCAACGTGTCTCTTCTGCTGTTCTTATCTGAAAGTTACTTACTTTGGATTTATTTTCTTATAAGCAGTTAAAGCTGAGTTTCTTTGTTTCAAACATGTTGCACTGTTCTTCCTGCACAATGGGAAGAAAATCACTTAATCGTTTTAGCATTAATATTTTACTTGGTAAATGCAGAGATACTGTTCACTGTGGGGAAGTTACTGCATAGGCAAAGGAAGGGTATGGATTTACAGCCTGCTCCCTGTGCAGTAGACACTGTCAGCACAGTCAGGGCAAAGGAGCTTGACTTTTAGTGCCTATTGATTGCTTCGGCCACACAGGACGTTGGTTTAGGTTAACTGGCATCTTCTGGATTCGTGTCCTCTTTTCTGGGCCCTAATTTCCATGTGCAAAGAAATCTGTGGGATAATGAGTTGTTGAGACCATGTGAACATCTCTGTATGAAGCCCTCCAGCCTAGTCTTAGACAAAACTGTGCTTCAGCTAGTACTGGTTGAGTAACTGAGCGAGGGGGGAAACAAATGTTTTCCCTATCCACTCCCATTTTAATGCAGGTTTATTGCCACGTGTCCAAGAATGGCCTTGGGCATAGGCCTCTGGCATGGCAACTTCAAAAGAACAAGTTGACTACCCAGTCATTCTGACTTTGGAGCAGCTCTGGGCATGGTTATCCCTCTGTCTCCACCTGCACCCCCTTCTTTTGCAGTGAGAGAACAGCATACAGCTGCAGATTTCAGGCAGGCCGTATGGCACAGGCAGACTTCTGTGTCAGGGGACTTGTGAGGGTATTGCAGAAGGCAATCAATCCTTCAGTCAGAGAGCACTTCTGAAGATGTAAGGTGTGAAAGTCTTACACCAGTATTCCTTTGGTCCTTTGGCTTCTGTAGAGTTTCAGTGCACCATACTGCATCCCTTCCACTGGCGAGTGTTCACGAGCCTCCTTTTCTTTTGAGTTTTTTGTGGTTTTCTTTTCTTTTCAAGCACTGTGGCAGGAGAGCTCACACAGCGCCTATTCCAGGAGAGCCCTGGCTTCCCGTATCGATGTATCTTGAGGGAGAACAAAATCCAGTATTGACTGGGAACTACTCTGGTACATTCAGCAGTTGTGCAGGCAACGACTGCCAGAGGCAATTTTCCTTTCATCTTCTGAGGAGACTATTAATTTCAGTCATGATAGTCTAAATTGCAACAGTAAATGGATAGATTTTGTGACTCATTCCCTTGGAAAACGTGTTTAAAATGAATGATGAATGAGTGTATTGCAGATGGGTGTATTTCTATTAGTTATCAAAGTTGCACTTTGAAGATGTCATGTGAGGTCAGTGTGGTGTTACTGCATACTGTGCCCATGCGTGTAGCCAGGCAGTGCCCTAAAAGTTCACAGCTCAGACCAAAGATGGTGCACTGCTGCTACCAGGGCAGGCTTTACTACTGGTAGAGACTGGGTAGCCATCAGTGGCAGCGAGCCATGGATGCTCTTTGTGTTTGGCACCATTCAAACAAAGGTTTGGGCAGGCATGGGTTCAAAGAGGACCTATTCTTATTTCATTGTTCAGGAAAGGATTAAGTGATACTAACTGATCTGCTGAAGGATGCTTGGGGAACCCAAGCCTGAAAAGGAGATGAACCTAGATCTCCTAAATGTCAGTTCAGTGCCTAAATTACAAGTCAGATGCGTCTTCTCTTACAGTTTGTGGCTCCCTGCATCACCCAGTGTAGGATTGCTTTGGCCATCTGAAACATTGTACAATGCTGCAGTAAAAGAGATTGTGGTTTTATGGGAAGGGTCCTGGCCTTTCATAAGAGGAGAGACCAATCCAGGGATAGATTTGGCTCCCACCTCCCTCTTTTCTTCTACCACCACCTCCTTTAGTTTTAATCTCTGTTTGGCTTAAACGTGTCCATATGATAATGGCTGAGTAATATGCAAAACTTCTGGATGCGTTGTGCTGTGCATGCTGTTGTGAGCGGTAGTCCCGTATAGTGGAATATCCTATTAGAGAAAATGGCACAATACGATAAGAGGATAAAGTTGTAAGATATAGTTGATGTAGGGGAAAACAGCAATTCTGAAAATAACAGAGAATACAGTGAAACCGCTAGTGCCGGTGATGTCCCAGAGCAGTGCATGCTGGAGGAGCTGAAAAAAGCATCAGCAGGCTTTATCGAGGTAAGATAAGATACATGCAGTGTTCCCTACCACCTAATTAACTGACACACTAGTGTGTAAGTCTAAGTTTATCTTAATTTCATGTTTGCTTTGCTGATCACCAGGAAACACAGCAGGAAGTTTTCTCTCTTTTGAGAGAAACACGACTTATTTCCTTGAGCGGACTCCATTTTAAACAACTAATGTTGAATGTAATACATCCAGCCACAGAATACACCATAAAATGGCAGAGTACCAAAAACACATGATGCAGACTATGCCAGATTTATGCCAAAAAACTGTAATAGCTTCTGAAAGAAAAATGATGGAAAATATTCCAGTTCCATAACACAGAATAACAATGTTGACTGAACATACCTCGCAAGGATACAGAAAATATTTGATAGTCACTCTTTTAATTAAATTCTAAGTTCTCTGAATGGTGTTTCTTATCTGAGGTCCTTGCAAATTGAGACTAAACAAATAAAAAAATGGAAAACAGTGTGCCTCATCACAGATGAAATTCTGGTAGTCAGTTCACTTACTGTTTTTATTTCTCGTTTGATCACTTGAGGGGACTTCATGGTGTCTGCTTGTATATCTACTTGAAAGATCTGTAGATTTTTAAAATGTTGCTTTTTATTTATTTTCTGGTTCTCTTGCCCAGCACAGTTTGATTGGGGTGGAGAGGGAGAAGAGTCCTGCCTCATTGTAAATGGAGAACAGTTCTCAACAAACCTGACTGGAAGTTGCAGCTGAGTTTTATAGTAGAACATTCTTCTCTCTGTAGAATTACCAGTGAAGCATCAAAAATAACTGTTAAAAAGAAAAGAGTAAAAAATATAGGGGGGGGGGGGGGGGGGGAAGCCCAACAAAAATCCCCATTTCTTCACATAAGAATTCAGCTCACAGGCACTAGAAGCTTCCAAATTGCTCTTTTCCCTCTGTTCCACTGATGCCAAAAATATTAAAATCAAGTTAAGATCCCTGGATTGTAAATCAAGCATTGAGGCTTGGCTGCGGAAGAGAAATCTTATTTGAACATTAGCAGTCCACTGGTAACTCTGCCAGCTTTATTAATCTTATTTCACTTGTGACCTCAGACTTTCCATCTGAGTAAATCTTTATGAAATGCAGTCTCTCCCAATCGCTTTACCCTTTCAATAAAGGAAATTCTTGTTTTCAAGGGGAAAAATGCTAAAAGCCTGTAACTTTTTTTCTTCTAGACCTGTGATCCAGCCTAATAAGTAATCTCATAATCTAAAGGTTATTTAACCTCCATTTTGATGTCAGGTATGAGGTTTTTTGCTTTAAATAAGGCTTCTTGTTTTGTAGGCAGGCTACAGTAGTCTTTAGCTAGAAGTGGTTTGTAATGATTTAATCAAGTTAGGCTGTGCATTTTTAAAAGTGAACTGAATTGCACTTTCAAAGCAGACTGACTTCATTGTTTACAATACCATAGACTAGAAAGAATTAAAAAATACTGAAAAAAGTCCAGCGCTCTGCTGTCAATGTGTAGCAATACATCAAAGGAATCATTAGGGATGTTCCATCTTTTTTGCAACTGGAATGAAACTAAATAAAAATAAAAAGTTTACATGTACTTTTTAATAAAGAATCCAGAGTTCTGAAAGTATGGAAAGCCTCATCTGCTAGACCTCTCAGAAGTCACTAGTGCTTCTTAATCACTTCTGTAATGAAGAACAGCGATCCGATTAGAGGATCCTTGAAAACGGTATTGGGGTGGGGGAGAGGACCTTGGCTGACTGTAGACTGTAGACAGGAAAAAAATTTAATTCCCTTAACTGGATATGGAGAGAGAATTTGATGGAGCTCCTGTTCCAGGAAGGGATCGCAATGTCAAGATCACATTTGTGTGCTTGAAAGCGGCCTCTTGAAAGCAGAATCCAATCTTGTTGGCCACACACAGCAATCTCCCTCAGCCCCGTTTCGGCCGAGCTCGAGGTGTTTTCTGGAAGGATGTCTGGCGACGGGAGCAGGGACAAGCTGATGGAAGGTTAGCGCTGTGATGTGCTGAGCCTGATCCAACTCCTATTAAATTGAGTGGGAGCAGGCTCGGCCCTTAAATGCAGGAAATATTTTATTGTGAACTATCTGCATGATAGCTGCCAGGTAGATCAATAAGGGCTTCTGCTGCTTCCTGCCGCTCACCTTTGATGAGCACTAGATTTATGACAAACCCACAAACTAAAGCCAGCTCATTTGGTCTGCCTTGATGGCAGCTGCTGCTGGAGATAAGACGGACTTTATTGCCTTAACTGTCTGGATAAGGAAAAAGAGTTACCTGCAGAAAGGTTAAGAAATGCAACTTTTTTCAGTTCCCTAGCCAATTTGACTGTGTCTTCAGAAAAGCTCGCTCACAATGCAGCTTTGGGGAGGGAGGGCAAAAGGCTTATTTAAGCAAATATTAAAGAAAAATGAGTGAGGTTTAAGGATTAACCTGTTGTGTCAGGTGATCTGTGTATAAATCCAAACCAAAAATCTGTGTGGTGGACAAAGAGCCTCGCGATGCTCTTCAGTACAGTCGTCTCTGGAGCATGTGAGCCTCGGGCACGGCTCTAGCAAAGAGGCATCCCAGCATCTGCAGAGCAGCAGCACCAGAAAGGGCAGCAGCAGCAGCATTTGAATGCTAACACCATCAAAAACATTAGTTGCGATTGTGACACAAAACTGCTGCTGCTTTTCTTAAGGTCTACTCTGTACAAAGGAAGTAGTTTTTAGAAAACAAGAAAATAAAGTGCTCTGCAACTCCTGTTTATTTGCAGTGTCTCATGCGATGGGATACAGCACGCTGAGCAGGTAAAAGGGAACATTTTTCTCAAGGCAGTGAAAATTAAAGTGTGGTGGTAATATTAGGTTGTGTGGGTTGTTGGCATAGCTGAACTGGGAGTCAAAAGGTTGAGCTTCACTCCACACACACCTCTCCAAGTCTCTGCTTGCTCCATGGCAGTGGATGAGGCGTACTTTAGAGATCCCAAATGTTGAGGAGCTGGGAGAAGTGAAGGATTTTGAGGGCAAGAAGACTGCTCCCTGTAAGGCTGCTGCTGGACACCAGTGTCAGAACTGGTGTATGTGCACATCGTTTGCTGAAACGGAGCTCATCATCTTCCTTGTTTAAAAAGAGGGGGG